GTCCAAATGCAGAAATTGCAGCAAAGAGACAGGAGCAGGAACATCCTTCTACATCCCCCACAGCAATGATCACAGTGCTTGTACCTGGTAGGTATTTAATAAATATGCATCCTTTCACTGACTGTGAACAAAACGAGATGTTAGATAAAGTGCAATGTTAACACCACTTGCTGACATCTAGACTTGTGCTTCTGCAACCACATATGGGTGGGTGCACACAATTCTCACTGCTTACATTCAGTATCATTTCAGAAGTTGTAAGCATAAGTGAGGTGACATCTGGAAAGGGCACTTTGTTTGTTCCAAGAAAGGATCTGATGAAACCATGGTATGTGAAATGAGCTAATTTACAGAAATCTAGCTTTCCCTCTCTAGTTTTACTTAGCTCTCAGATTATATTTGGGGCTTTTGCCCACCTGCATCACTTACATAAATACACTGAATTAGTGTGGTCTTTCTAATTTTTAAGCCAGACAAAAGAGGAAAGAGACTGTATATATGAACTACCTGTAGAGCTCCAACTTCGTGTCAAGGGTTTTACCAAGGACTATATTATACAATCATTTATTCATTCATCACAAATGCCCTCTGAATGACTGATCGTCCCTCTTTTACAGATTGGATAGCTGAGTCTCTAAGACATTAGGTATCTGACCTCAAGTCTGCCCATCTCCAAAGCCAGTTCTCACCACTACCATGTTCTCTTGCCATCACGATTCCAACTCAGCCTTTGAATCCTGGTCTATCTACCCCCCAAATGTAACTCAGTGTGACAATCATCATGACCTATGCTGTTACTACAAAAAAATACCCTACTGATACAAGTCCCACGTGTAACTCAAATTCTAGTCAATAGCATCATTGAGGACTAGAGTTGTCTGAAGCCCACAAATCTTGTAAGGATCTGTGTATTCCTACAGAAAAGCTTAGAGAGTGCAAGTCTTTCTTCTCCTTTCTGGATACCCAGTGCCAATGGATTCAGGTTATCACACATTTTCTGATTTTTATGAATCTAAAATTGTACCTCCTATAATTTGGTCAATTACCTGCACATGCGTACATGCACACATGCACATGTGCGTGCACACACACACACAAATCCACAAGTTACTAAGAATATACCATAGAAATTACTGAGAAGAGGCATAGTCAACACACATGAGAAACGCCCAAATTACAACAATGCAAATATTGATTTTACCGTCATGAAGAAAAGACCAGTGCTCCTGCTTAATCAATTTAATTTAAAATTATATTGGTGACACTATTTTGTAGAGTCTTGAACCATGTATGAAATTATCGTTACTATAGTACTTTACATTTCTATAGCAATATATAATTACAGACCATTTTATTTTGCAATATTTCATAATGTTCATGACAACATTATGAGTTAAGAATGCTTTTTTCCAAATCATATAGAAGGAAATTGGGGTTCTGAGACTTTGAACGACTTACTGACCATTAAGCAGCACTGTCAAGGATTGACTGACACCTTCCGTTTCTCAATCCTGGGCTTCGGTCTCCTGATTCTAACTCCAGCCCCTGTTCTCCCCCGCATCTTAGCTGTGATGACTGAGTCCCCAGTGGCAATGCAGATAATTGAGTGAATTGATTTAGTCGATTGCAAAGCCCCTGTCCTATGTGCACGTCAATGAATCCATCTTTTCTTTTGTAATTTATTGGGGGACCCTGAGAGGTTATTTTTAAGTGATGAAAACAACACAAGAACACACAAAGGCATCTGACATCAGAGGGTGCATCTCTTTCATCCCAAAAGTTGGCACCTTCTGCTGTGAGCTGATGCTATCGCCTATTAGCATTAGCCCCAACCAGCATCAGCTCCTGGAGCTAACACACAGCTCCAGGCTGTTGTAATGACTCAGCAATCAAAACTTCAAGTTTAGTCGTCTGGGTCCTCACCCACCTCCAGGGCCAGAGCTCCAAGAGCCCCTTTTTGCTCTTCAACTTACTGGGTGATCTTTCTGGCTTCCTTTAAAGGTTCTCAGTAGCTGACTTTCCAGCTCTCAGCTCTGTTTGTTACAGAAGGAAAGAGCCATTCATGTGTTAAGTGCCCTGGGTCTTAAAAACACAAGCACTCTGGAGAATGTTGGGCATGGGTTGGCTTACTTGAGCAGAGACCCACAGGAAGGCTGGCCAACTGACTGGAACTAAATAGAGAAGGAATTAGAATTGCCTTTATTCTCCCCAAATAAACTCAAGGCAACCCTTTACCAATTCATTTTTTTAAAAATATAACCCTGCATCTATTTCCTCTAGGGAACTTCAGCCTTTTCTTTGGCAACTCTGACACGTTACTTCTACTGAGATGGAAAGCTCCCTTCCTTTTCCTTTCTTTTCTGAACTCCCTAAGCAAAAAAAAAAAAAACCCAACCCTGTTAAACTGTGAAACACTATCACAAAACAAAGCCGGAAAAGACAAAAGAAAGCCATGGATCTGGAGCCAGTCCTGATCGGAAGCTGTTTACCACTGCTCTGACACGAGCTGATAATAAAGATACAAAGTTACAGTTGCCCCAGCAGCATCAGGAAAACTTGAGGTGCCAGGGAGCTGCTTTGTTCACTGCATGAGCTGTAATCAGAAAATCCTGAGTTGGCATGTACCCCACTTCTATTATTACCCTAAAGTAAGTGATAATGAAAGTGTTGCTATGGCTAGAAGATTCACTGATTACAATGATTAAATCTCAAATACACAAAAGCCAAGATGTTATCTTTATTATTTTTTTAAAGATGGTGTTGAGAATAATCTATGCAATTAATTTTTACCAACAGCACTAGTCTAAATATACCCACACTGGGTGAGAATGTGAATGGGAGGAGGAACAGTCAAAATGAAATACCCTCAATAAAAAGAGGCACTAATTTGCCAACTTCCAGAAAGGCATTTTCAGAGGGCTTCTCTCTGTGCAGAACTGCCCTAACACAAAATAGATGACGTCAAATACTGGCCTCTGTACCTGGCACTGGTTATATCAAGAGCTGCGGGCTAACGAAGAGCTGACCGACCTAGAGAATGGCGATAGTCCAGGCAGAGCTGGGCAACCTCCAACCCCCTGACATAACCCACTGGTACTTGCAGCATCAGGGCTCTGCTCTCTCCCTAGAACAGTAAACTTTCTGTTTCTTGTTTATATATTGCACTTGCCTTCAGGCTTCATGAGTCCCAGGTTGTTTTCTCCACAAAGAAAATGAAATTTTATTGGGGGTTTCTCCTATGTTCAAGTCATTTAAAACTGATAAAATCCCCTCTCTTGATAAGGGAAATGTAAGTGGAATCTATGAGTAACAGATGAAAATATCCTGAGCAGAAATAGTTGATAAGAAAGACACATCATAAATTATACTGACCGAAAAGAGTTTACCCATAGGTTTGTTGTTGTTTTCTGTTTTTTTTTTAACCAAGAGGACAGTGTGGAGTAAGTATCAGTTACAGGATGAAAAAGGGGAGGGATCTTTTAACAGCTGCCCTCCTTTAACTGTTTCACTAATATCATTATGCAGAAAACAACAAATAGATGGCAGGGATAGCCTATGGCAATACCAGAGTCAAATCTCACGTTTAAGTATTTTTTATCTTTTTAGTTCAGGATTTTCAAAACACTCCTTTTAAAGAAAAAAGAAATAATATTATTGTTCTGAATATGATCTTTGACATCTCTCAACTTGGCTCTCATAAATCTTTGACCCAGTCAGCTGTCTCTGAATAAAATCTTTCATGTTACAATTTGCACCATCTCTCTATCTATACACAGACCCTAAGAAACACTTATGCATGTGTCCCACCCCCCGCCTAGTTAACATACCTGTCATCTCTTCCATGAATATGTTCACAGTAACAGTTGGAGTTGGCTAACATTCCATGAAATATCACTACTCCTTTTAGAAGAAGCAATCCATATGCTTTGACTAAAGCTCTATTGCTTTCACTTGGGGTCTCAGCAGTTTAGAAGTATATTTACGAGTGATTCTCACTTCTTGGGAGAAGTTAAGGGGTGCCAATGCAGAGATAAAAATACTCGCAGATAGAGCAACACAGATGCTTTCACAATGAAATGGTGTTTTGTTTTAATAACCTCAGAATGGAAACAGGTAAACTATCTACGTTTTGCTTTGAAGGAAAGGAAAAGGAAAAAAAAAAAGAAAAAGAAAAAAAAAGCACAGCTAACCACTGTGCTTTAGGAAACACTAAAGGACTGAGTTAGGCAAGATGTTTGACTGAAGTCACCTGAATTCCTGATGCTGCCTGCTTGCTTTTACAGCCAAGAGCAGACGATTAAGAGCAATTTGCAGCCACACTCCCTCCTCTAGGGACCACGTAGGGTAAGGGGATGTTCCAAAATGTGAGACACTAGTCTTAATCAGGCGACACTGCATCCAGAAAGGTTAATGAGATGCAATAGCAAGAGAATCAGTGAAAAAAAGAGGTTCAAAATACTAAACAATTTCTACTTTGTTCTTATTTGCTCCAATTAAGAGCTCCTGAAACAGCTTTTCTGTACTCCACACATTCGCCACTCCAAGACCAGATTTAACTATTCAGGAAAAAAAAAAAAAAGTCTGCTATTAAGTTATCATAAAAGTCCGGATGCACCCCCGACTCCCACCCTGGGTCTCTGGGCAGAAACACTTTTACCTCTCACTCAGAGCCCCTGCCAGTAGCTTTTCTGATTTTTCTCCTCAAATTTAAAGAGTATTTCAAGGAGGGAGAAGCCTGGAATTAATTTTTTCTAAATTTCATAAATGCAGAATTCACTGTGTAAATACTAGATAAATAAAGTGTGTAAAAATGGGAGGAAGGAGGGGGGCATGGTTATACAAACGGAAAGAATCCCCATGGCATGAAAACTGCCCCAAAATGTCACACACAATCTCTAAAAATGTGCTTCTAAACTGCCTGTGGATTTCCGAAAACAAACAGGAAAACACAAACATTCCAGGAAAGCAAGAACCAGGATCTAAGTAGTCCCACAACTTACCTTCTTTATGTATCCTCAAAGTTCACCAGGAAAATTTAAAATCCTCTATTTATCTTGCACTACTTTCTTTTCTTTTCTTCTTCTTCTTTTTAAAGTCACACAGGAGAAAAATAATCAGTTTTCAAAGGTTCCATTGATCTGATCTTCCAGCACCAGCAAAAAACGTGTCCAAGAGACTCCGCCAAAAAGTAAGCCAAAAACTCATCAAAGGCAAAAAGAAGAAGGGAGTGGGGAAGGAAGGGGGTGGTGAAAGCTGAGGGGCTTTGGGCCGGGAGCCCAAGTACCCAGAGAAAATTTTCACGCTGCTGAAACCTACAGTACGATATACCTGCTTTGGTGTCACACAAACACACACACTCTTGGACACTCACACGTTCTCTTTCACGCAAAAGCAGGCACCCACACTCACAAACACGCACAAACATGCACACACTCACACAGACCCGTGTGATGAAACTGTCAGTGGTAACCTCCAATAGCTGCTGAGTGCTGCAGATGGTACGGCTCACTGCTACCTTCCCAGATCGGTGTAGGATCAAAAGAGCATCCAAAATCAATGGGGGGCCCCCCGGGACCAGGTAGATTCCGGATCCCTCTCCCCCAGGCAGATTTATCAAGCCAGGAGCGGGTCAATCAGCAGAGGTGTCTGCTTGCTGGGTGCCCCGGATTATGGCAAGGTTATTCATCTTGATGTGCTGCATCCTCCACCCCCAACATTCGGCAGCCTGCATTGAGATGACTGCCAGAGCTGTGTCTATCCCTGCTCTACTGCATTTTGCTCAGCCCTCTGCTGCTGCAAGTGAGACACGGTGGAGGCAGGAATACTAATAAGGTGGTTAGCTACAGTTTCTTCAAGGCGGTCGGCGAGCAGTACAGTCAATGTGTACTTCCCAGTGCTCTGTGTGTGTGACTGGATGTCTGCAGGGACAGCAGCGAATCCATCACCGGCCAGAAGGCGAGATGGTTTGTATCCTGCCTGGGAGGACTATATCATCGGAATCATCACTGTCCTGCAACGGCATCGTCTAGGACAGTATTTTGTCTGGGATAAAAAAAGGGGGGTGGGTGGGCGGTGTTAATGGTTTAGAAGCCTAGAGCCGGCATTTGAATGAGAGAGAGAGAGAGAGAGAGAGAGAGAAATGTCCAGGGAGACAAATTAGCTTTACAAATAAGCTCCAAGAAGACCAAGGCAAAATTTTAACATGCCGCTACCCTGGCTGTTAAATGCAAATACAGAGCAATTTCAAAAACCAGCTACAACCTATAAATCTTGGAGGTGGCAACAAGTATCTGAATTTGACTGATGGGACGGTGGATAAATGGATTCCTGGTAATATAAAAAGTTTGCTCGTGCATTTGCTCATGCATTTACCCAATGCATTTGCTCATGCATTTACCCAATGTATGCAGGGATCTAGGTATGGTTCAGTCATTCTTAATATGGATTTAGACTCTATTTGTTCAGTTTTCCACAAATGCACAGCTTTTATCATATAACTATCAAATTGTAGAGAATGTCTGAGTGGCACTAGGTCACTATGGGGATTGGTTGACAACTGTCAACAGGATTACCATACATAACACTCTTATATGGAATTTTCAGGAAAAAAAAAGTCATATCTCTCTTTTATTACTAGGCCATGAAAGAAAATATATGCAAACATGCTAAGTGAATAACTCCTCAGACTCTGAAAGGCTAACTTTTCCTCTTCTATAATTGGGTCTCATATTAAAGTACCTCTTCTTTAGACAAGGATACTCACTGAGTTCCTGAAATTGAATTAAAGTAGTATCATCTGAATAAGTAAGCGTTGGACAGTGGGAGAAGGCAGATAAGTGTGAATTATGGAGCACTGTAATACCAGATATTGCCAGCAGATGTCACAAAGGCAGATGCAGGTAAAAGGATTCTACCAATTGCAAGCATTTTAATCTAATTTAGTAAAACAGATTTTAATAAAATGTATAACATTAATCTGAAACACTAAAGTTTTGTAAAATTTAAAGGTGCAAATAACTTGGAGAACAACTTGCCTTTTGTTTTTTCCAAATGTCCCTCTCAAATCACTATTTTCCATAACTCCAGTAGATGATCTGTTATTGATATTGGAATAAAAATACTACACCACTAACATTCGATTTGCATCTAACATTATTTCTAGGAGTTATGATTTTTGATTCTATAAAATACAGTATTTAAATACTGTCTAGGTTGTAACAGAACATCTACTAGATTAAACCATAAAACAGATAAATGAGAGGAAGTAAATTAAGTGATTAAAATTCATACATAACATGTTTGTTTAAAGTTTCCATTTTAAAGCAATAATTCTGTTTCATCTTGATCATAGCTATAAAAATAAGTTTAAAGGAATTATTCATGTTTGGGAGTTGAACATTATTAATAAACGGTGGCACATAGGCAAAATATATAGAGTTTTTATTGGTCTTCATTAATTCCACCTATATTAATATGTGAAAGATTTTTAAAACCCAGCATATCATCTTGTCCTTTATTAACCTAATGCAATTAATTAGTACCTACCAAATCCCAGCCCTAATTGGCCCAAATGCCAATAAAAGAGTATTAAAACCTTGAGCACTGAAATCCAGACAGACCTGGGTTCAAATTTCAGTTCTGCCTTATACCAGGTACTTAGTCTCTGCAAGCCTCTTTCTTTCATTTCTCCTTTCACTTGCAATCAGGACATTAATACATACCTAATGGGATTACTGGGAGGACTGGAATGAACTAATATTTATAATGTGCTTTGCATATTTCCTGACACATAATAAATTATCTACATATGTATTAACACTAGCACTACATATGTATTATAAATAAAGTATGTTTGTTTCTTACTATGTTAGCCCTGTCTTTGTGGGCTACAAGGTGAAACAGGTGGAATCATTTAATCAATCCTTTTGATGTTGACTGATTTGTTTTCTAATTTATTTTTACAAATAGCTGTTTCAATATTGTTTTTGTAAACCTATAGTTGAGTAATATTGGATGACTTTTAACATTTTAAACATTTTAACAGTTATCCATGTGTTCAAGACTCAGTAAAACAGAAAAATCACTTTCTTGATTAATTGAATCCAACAGAATATTAAGAAAGAAAATCTGATGGCAGTTTACTACTTCCCCATCAAGACCTCCTTTGAAGCCAAGAGAACCACTAAAATGTAGATGCTTAACAATGCCAAAAGACCCAAGGAAACAAGGAGCGTTCCTAAATCAGCAATTCTATGACAGATTATAGCAGATTATTATTGCAACTCAGATTATCATTTTAAAACAGGTGTTTGGGGCTTCCCTGGTGGCGCAGTGGTTGAGAATCTGCCTGCCAATGCAGGGGACACAGGTTGGAGCCCTGGTCTGGGAAGATTCCACATGCCGTGGAGCAACTAGGCCTGTGAGCCACAACTACTGAGCCTGCCCATCTGGAGCCTGTGCTCCGCGACAAGAGAGGCCGCGATAGTGAGAGGCCCGCGCACCGCGATGAACAGTGGCCCCCGCTTGCCGCATCTAGAGAAAGCCCTCGCACAGAAACGAAGACCCAACACAGCCAAAAATTAATAAATTAATTAAAATAGGTGTCTGGATATACTGAATTTCATCAAATAATGGTAATGTAATCAATACTTTGCCAAGGAAAAGGAATACCAAGAATGTGACCCCTGTTGACTCAACATCTCAGGAGTTCTCCCGGTGAAACCTGAAACAGGTCCTGAACACAAAGGGCAAAGAGAGATCTAAAGAAAGGCAGCTCATTCCCCATTGGTAGGTGGCGACTTTAATAAGCATGGGAACTTACTTACAAGGTCCGTCTAGGGAGGCTGCAAGAGTAGATTTTCGCAGACACGGTCCGAATCTTAAAAGTTTATATAGACGCCTTAACTGGGTTCAGTCACATATTCCGTCCAGACGGTCTCAACATCTTACTCTCTCAAGGCTACATCCTCAAAGTGGCTCTGGCTACGGGAACAGTGGGAAGAATGAACACTCCCAGGACAGGGGCAGGTGAAAAGCCTCGGAATGACCGGGTCAACTGGCGGTCATGCCCTTTCAGTAACCTCCTCCAGCAACCACAGGGCATCAGTTACATATCCATCCCCTCTGGGTGTCTTGAAGAAATGTGTTAGATAAAAACAAGTGAGATATACAATCAAACAGATCACCAGGGTGCCCGTTACTCTTCCTCCAGCAGCCTGCCAATCTACAGTAGGTTGAATAATATTTGTGCTAACACTGAAAAACAGTTTCTTTGAAATCTGATTTCTGTTTAAAATTAAACATGTCTCCTCCCTCATTCTGGGAGAGCTGAGTATCAGCAACAGTCCCTAGTTCTAACCTGAAAAGTGGTGTCTTACAGAGAACTGACACATAGTATATATGAATTCCAGGAGAACAGGTCGCCTGTGACCATTTCCCTTCCCACGGCCAGAAAAGGCTTTTCTAGTAGAAGATGTTAGCGTTAGAATACCTCAACTTTTAAAATGTGCCCAGGTAATCTGGGACTTCTGGACAGTATGTTTGGATTAAGGGGGAAGAAATGCACCTTAATCTGCATTATTGGAAAATTCTATATTTCCAGAGTTGGTCCAGGATAGTGAGTCAACAGCTACCATGAACAGTAGTAGATAAATGTATGACTTTAAGATGCATATGTTTTATTTCTTGGGCATCATTACTGAGTAGGAAATATCTCACCAGAATTAGTAAGAGTAAATTCCTCTTAGAATTCTTAGGTGAAAATTTAGATGTCTGTGTTCCTTTTAAACACAGACTACTTACAGCCTGTCACCATGTTTTTCTTTGCTCCCTACGTCCTAAGCTATGATATAAGCATAAGAACAGGAACTTAGTTTAGGATTTGTTCCCTCCTTGCCTTATTATAAAATTGGTTTGCCTGCAATCCAAATGTTCTGATTTAGCTTATTGGCCTAAAAGATTACATTCTATTATTGATTACACTCTATTATTCCATCTCTTGACACTTTTATTAATTATGCTTTGAAATTAGCTTGGATCATTTATTTAAAGTGTTTTAATCAGTTATTAAGGGTTGGGCATCATTTTATTTCTCAAATTATTTAGCCTTCTTGTTTATATCCAGAAATTGCAAGCTTAGATAAATCTAGCATAAATGTTGTGCTATTTGGATCAATTTCTCCCAAAGGTCTGCCTGGACCTTTATAATTACTCCCTCACATCAATCCAAAGAGTACATAACTGACCATATCACTTAACACTTGGTGCTTTGCTATTTTATACACATAGTATACAACTTCAAAGGAACTTTTTGACTTTTTGTCCCTTAGAGAGAGCCTAACACAACTCCCTCCAAACCTCAGGTACCAGATGATTTTTTGCTGTTATTATTATTATTTATTTATTTTTTTTTTGCAGTATGCTGGCCTCTCACTGTTGTGGCCTCTCCCATTGCGGAGCACAGGCTCCGGATGCGCAGGCTCAGCGGCCATGGCTCACGGGCCCAGCCGCTCCGCGGCATGTGGGATCTTCCCAGACCGGGGCACGAACCCGCAGTCCCCTGCATCGGCAGGCGGACTCTCAACCACTGTGCCACCAGGGAAGCCCTTTTGCTGTTATTATTGATGAAAATATGCTAGACATAACTCAGGGACTTAAAATATCATATAACTGATCCTGGTTCTTCCTCTCAACTTCAGCCTTAAATAAACTAAAGATAGCCTATGTATAGATTGCTTGCTATTTGTGGTGCAATTAGATTATCACTTTATTAGTTATTCACTAATTCATAATAATTCCTTATTATTGTTTTAATATCTGTTTGAGTTATA